ATAAAATTATTCCTCAAAAATACAACTTGCCTAATAATTCTGCACTCCCTGTAGGTTGTGTAAAAAGAGTATTGTGCAAATTTCAGAGAAATGAATACATGAAGATGTTTCTGTGTCCAGCTTAATGCAGACGACAATGAGAGCTTCCTGCTGTTTGGTGCGTTGTTTGAGGCCACCATGATTGACAGGAAAATTGGAGACAGGCCTATCAGCTTTGAGTTCTCTCTCGGTAAGTGGATGTGTGGAGTGTTAAGGAGTTTAGTGTCCTGCTAATCATTTAGTCACATAATCCAAACATGAAGAATAATACCAGTCTTGCATTTATGTGGTTAATATATAATGAAACTATCATTTACTATTCCTCCCACTATCAGGTAACTATGGTAACACCTTAGAGTCTGCCCCTCAGCCCACTATCAGTTTCACCAGTCCTGCTGTCCCTCGGAGGATGCCAAGAGTGCTGGATTTCCCAGACACTAGTGATGTGTTCGGCTCGTTCTCTCTCAGCACCTCCCCTAACAGTCCTACTTCCCCCCTGCTACCCAGAGAAACTCAAGACGCTGCCATGACTTCAAAATCCACCACATCTCCAGAAAAACCAATCATTGTGGAAGGAAACAGGTTGAATCACTTTGCTGATCCTTTGAAAAACATTAAAGTTCTTGTGGATGTCAGAAACTCTGTTCTATGCACCAAAGACAGCACGTTTAATTTTCATTGGACAGTCATTGCAGTCATTCTCCTGGCCTCTCACTTACTGACAGGGTGAGGAGTTCAGCTTAGAGTAGAGCTGCTACTCCTCCACATTGAAAGGAGCCAGTTGAGGTGATTCAGGCATCTGATTTGACCTCCTGGTGAGGTGTTCTGGGCGTGTCAGCAGGCCTTTTATCGCCTCTGTGATTCCTCACATAAGCTGGAGGAGGTGGCTGGGAGGATGGAGGTCTGGGCTTCTCCCCTGTTGTTGAATAAGAGGTTACATGGATGGATGGATTAGGTTACTGGTGCTAATGATGTTAATAAAGGAGAGTCAATAATATTTAATAATAATAAATCACTCCTAGCCAAACTTATTGATATTAACAAATCATTAACAGTAGTGGACTGAAACAGTATCATTTTTTTTCTTTTTGTAAAGTTTCAAGTTCACAGTGTGTGTGTGTGTGTGTGTGTGTGTGTGTGTGTGTGTGTGTGTGTGTGTGTGTGTGTGTGTGTGTGTGTGTGTGTAGGTACTACATGTACTTGCCTCTGGAGAAGCAGAAACCATGTATTAATGTGCTGAGTCACTGGGAAGAAAGAACCTACCGAATGCACAACTCAAACATGCTGGACAACATAGCAGTTCTTCTTGTATGTACACACACACACACACACACACACACACACACACATCTCTTTCAGTGTTCGAAAATGTTATAAGTTATGAGATTTAAAACATGCTGTGCACTGTTAGATGCTTTTAGAGTCTTTTGTGTGTTTTTATTATAATAACAACACAAAATAGTCTGATTTGTATATTTAATGACCAAGTTAGCCGAGTTAAACCCTGAATAATGTGAAAAAAAAATGTGAGTGAAGTTGGCCCCCCCACCTTCTTCAAATCCAACAAAAGTGGCATCAAACGTTTGTGCTACGTTTGTGCTGGTTTGTGCCGCAAAAATTTTCGTTTGTGCTGCTTCTGTTTTAAAGATATTAATGAAAATGTAAAGGTCAAAAGGTCAACCAGCCCCCCCACATTACCCAAATCCAACAAAATTGATGTTAAACGTTTGTGCTACGTTTGTGCTGGTTTGTGCTGCAGAAATGTTTGTTTGTGCTGCTAACATTTTAAAATTTTTAATAAAATAACGTCTTGATGCGTGCTTAATCATCCAGGTAAGTCAATCCCAAAAGGTTGATTCTGTTCATCTGGACATTTTCAGTTGGAGAAACGTTTTGTCACTCATCCAAGTGACTTCTTCAGTCTCAGCTGACTGCAGGTTTCCCCAACCTTATAAACATTACATTTGCATAGTGAAGGAAACTAGAATGAACAATGTGCTGGGGGGTTAGTTCCATGATTGTTAGTATGCAAATTCTTATTCTTGGGATGTAGGCAGTGACAGTTTCTGTATATTCCTGAAAGTCTGTGGCGTTGTCGTGTGGGGTGGCCTGTGGTGGAAAAGCAGTGCCTCTGAGGACCCTTCTGGCCACACCTGTACCTGCTTACGAACTGGTTTGGTGACTTTGAGCAGGGGCCTGTGGGAACCCATGGCACACCTAGGTTTCTGCCTATACTGACCCTTATGCAAAATAGGTGGAATTAAGACACAGTTCCAAAAGCAAACACAACTGATCAGTGCTGAGAGTGGTCCTGTTGCTGAGGTTGGGATGATCCTGTAATCTCTTATGAACGACCTCCAACGCTTCTATGACTGGGATGCAAGTGAAGACAGATGTAACATCTCTCTCTCACTGTACATGTACTGTTTATAAAATTAGGGAAACATAACCTGCACAAACAAAATAATTTGCAGGACAAATGTTTGACATCAATTTTGTTCGATTTGAAGAAGGTAGGGGGGGCAACTTCACTCACATGTGTTTATAAGGTTGGGGAAACCTGCAGTCAGCTGAGACTGAAGAAGTCATTTGGATGAGTGACGAAATGTTTCTCCAACTGAAAATGTCCAGATGAACAGAATCAACCTTTTGGGATTTACTTACCTGGATGATTAAGCACGCATCAAGACGTTATTTTATTAAACATTTTAAAATGTTAGCAGCACAAACAAACATTTTTGCAGCACAACCCAGCACAAACGTTTGACATCAATTTTGTTTGATTCCATTAATATGGGGGGGCTGGTTGACCTCTAGAAATTTTTGTTAATATCTTTAAAATGATAGCGGCACAAACAAAAATTTCTGCAGCACAAACCAGCACAAACGTAGCACAAACGTAAACCACTTTTGTTGGATTTGAAGAAGGTGGGGGGGCCAACTTCACTCACATCATATCTTAAAGAAATGGACTGTCAACAACTGATGTGTGTTGATGAGTGTGTTAAAACTTCATTCTACTGTGTATTAGGACACAGTGACACTTGATACATTTGTTAAAGTGAAAAAGTGACTTGGCTTTGACTGACCTGATAACTGTGTCAACATATCACCTACACTCACCTACACTCACCTACACTCGTGAGAGAAACTTCATCTTCATGTCTTGCAGGAGGAGGGGGTGACAAATGCATGGGAGCTCCACAGAAAGTCAGATCCTGCAGCCGAGCTGCTGATGAAATCTGTCCTCCAGGACTTTTGTGCAGATGCCAGGTAATCACAGCAACTCTTTAATGCTACTTTGTGAGCTGACTGTCTCACGTGGTTCACTTCCTGGGAAAATAAAGGCCAAACAATCAACTTAAATAATTAATTTAAATTTGAATAAAAATGTATTATTTTATAGCACAGAGCATAGCAGCAAATGTGATCTGACATTACAAGTCAATAAATACTGAGAACAGAACTCCTACAGCAAAAACAGTTTACTTAACTCATTCACTGCCAGCCATTGGCAGTGAATGAGTTAAACCCATTGACTCATTCACTGCCATTGACGGCTATAGACGTCAATGGCAGTGAATGAGTTAATAGTTGTCATTGTTCTAATTTTAGACATTCAAACTCCATTGTCACATTTTAAGCCATGGCAGACTTAACAGACATTAACTTTGTCCATGGAATTGAAGCTTAGAATGTCTTCATAATGACACCATCCTTCCATGCTGGAGACCAAACTCCTGCAACGCTTGTACAGGGACTAAATGGCCCATAACCCCAAATTCCTGAAACACACAGGGGGAACGTCATCCACCCCAGGGGCCTGGCCACCAAGGAGTTGTTTAACTAACTCAGTGACCTCATCCCCAGTGATGGGCAGTGATAGACGAATCAGCCCACTCCACTCATCTCCAAGTTCTGCTTCCTCTACAGAAAGGATTAAGGAGTTCCTCGAAGCATTCCTGCCTATATAAATTGCATTTATTACTTCTAGGCTGGACAACTGTGGGCTGGACACTTAGACAGTACGGGAGGAATTACTAGAAATTAACGAACAGAATATCCAATTCGTACATTTGAAGCAGGATTTTTATCCACTGGAGCTACAACAGATGGAAGAGATTTTCACCATTTCCCCTCTGTGGCTCCAGAGACGGAGGAGACACCGCAGTGAGAAGTGAGGCAAGCGGAGCGCCTTACGTGCTAGCTAACAAGCTAACCCATACAGACCATCTCTCCCCATCCTTTTTGTCGCCAATACCAGGACCCGCGCTAACAAGCCAGACCAGATCCAGCTGAACAGTTGTGTTGTGATTGTCACCGAGATAACAACATCCCCGACACTGTGGTGGAGCTTGAGAGCTGCTCTCTGTTTGATTACCTGGATACCATGGATCAGGGACTTTCTCACCAACCAGCCTCAGGTGGTGAGAGTAGAACAGAACATCATCCACCCTGGTCCTGAATAGGACCTCACTTGCACAAGTACTTTTACAGAGCTGTGATCAAGAGCATACTCTGCCACGGCACGACTGTGGGGTACGGCAGCCGCACAGCCCAGGACAAAAAAGACTTGGCCTGGTCAAAATGCCCAGTGGATTGTGGGGGGACAGCTAACAGACCTCAGTTCAGTGTCTTGATACATGCTCAATCATCCTGGTAAGTAAATCCCAAAAGGTTGATTCTTTTGACCTCCGTTACTGGTAATGGGCACAAACACGCTCTCAGAATGGTTGACCGGTTCACCAGCTGACATTCCAGATAGGATATCCACCACCTCTCTGTGGATGCCTGGCTAAGACAATCGGGCCAGGACTGGATCTGGAGTTTCGTCATATCCCATGTGACCAGACATCAGGTTATAATGAGCCAACTGGAAAAAAGTTTCCCAGCAGACTTTTGACATAACTGGGTGTGCTCTTTCTGTGTAGTGGTGTCTCAATACAGTCTGTGCCTAATAAACACAAAATGTGAAAATGTCAGGGTTATGTCAGTGCACATCATTTGACCATCAATTTTCATCGCTTGATCGAAGGCTGAGCTTAGAGTGTCGTCACAAGACCGTTCTAGTGGGAAATCTTTTCTGGAGCGAATCATCGCTTTTCATCCTCCACAAGGTCGGTGTCGGACAAGCTCACATCACCGGTGAGAGCAACACAAAGGTCTGATCCCTCGGTCCCATTTCCAGAACTGATGGCAGTGGTCTTCAGGTGAGGCACAGCTGGTCCAGGGCTGCCCAACAGACACTTCCTTGCTGTCAGGCTTGCTGAGTGCTGCCACCTGGGTCTCCCCTGACAGCTGCCACAGCGACCATTCCCCCACAGGACACCGGCTTTCCTGTGCCGTGACCGAAACCATTCTTGGAATGACTGGGGCAGGTGTCATCTCCTTCCCCCATCTTGTGGAGCCTCACTGCAGGGCCTGGGTGAAGTGGTGGCACTGCTAGAGACCCAGCATGAACAATTAAATTTTCCAGAATTTCTGTCTGGCATTTGGCCTGGTCCAGCTGCTGCTGGTGCTCCTCCACCTACTCCTGATACATGGCAGGCAGCTCCACCATCATCTGCGCCAGCACCTTTAATCCGCTGCTTCTGACGTCTTTATTAATTCAGGCTACCAAGTACAGCAGTTGAATCTAAAGTGGATGTACAATAGAGGTTAAAGTCACTAGCACATCCAGAAACTATTCACAGTGCTTCACTTATTTCACATTTTGTCACATTACAGCGTTATTCTAAAATTGATTCACATCCAGCACCCCAGCCATACTGGTCACATGTAGGTGGCATCTATTTTTACTGTGACTCGGGAGGTAGAGCAGGTCATCTGCTTATCAGAAGGTTGGTGGTTTGATCCTTGACTGCTTCAGTCTGTATGGCAAATGTCCTTGGGCAACATACTAACCCCAGGTTTCTCGCCAGTGGATCTGAGTATGAATGTGTGTGAATGTTAGACAGGAACTACTTGCATAGAGCAGATAAATGCTAAATAAGAACCAGTCCATTTACCATTCACCCTATGGTTCTGTTTTTGTTGTCCTACCTTGACCAGTTTTTTGACTGGGGAAATAACAGCAATGTTTCAGGCAGGTTTTCCAAGTTTTCCACCTTATTAAACAAAATGCAAACGATACGATCCTGAGCTTTTTGAACTACGGTCTCTTTGAGAAACTCGAGATCTTCATTACAGACTTTTCTCTTCCTGTCAGCAGAAATGTTCTTTTCTTTATTTTACTTTAGTTTTGAAAGCTCAGTAATTGTTAACATTTTGCAGCAGTCTTAGTCAACACTGCAAACTAGAGAGGGCTGGAAAAAATTTGGAAAAAGAATTTTATTCTGTTTGTGCTAAATATGTTTTTGGCTGTTTGTCAGGAGTTTCATTGAAGCAGCGGAGGCTAAGTTGAAGGCTGAGCTGAAGTCGACTTATCTAACACAGCTGGACAAGAAACGCCTGACCATGTGTAAACAGGAGCTGGTAGGAAAACTAAGTACAATTCTTATCACATTCCTTTACATCTCAATTAACTTTTGTCTGCTTTTACCTCAGTACCTATGTAAAATGAATAATAAGCCTCACAGACCACCAATTATAATACATTTCAATCACATTGCAGACTTAAACTGTTTTGGATATTGATGTTTGTTGGCAAAAATGTCCAGTATGTAAGATATTTATTTACAACTCCTGGGCAGGTGCGACCAGATTTGCAGTTTAGTATTCCATATGCATAATGTGCATTACACAATCTTACACAGCATTTATACAACACCGCATACAATAATGGATGTATGTGTATTGCAGGAAAGTATGATAGGGGAGGCACAGTCCCTGGTAGGGAGGAAGAAAAATGCTGGTGGTGTGAAAGAAATGCTACAGGACGCAGCAAAACTCACACATAAACTCCGCTTTCTTGTGGAGGAGGTTTGTATCTGTTAGTTGTCACAGGGATTCGTCTGATGGTTCTGGTTCTCTCACTGACATTGCAGAGTGTTTGTCTTGTGATATAAGGAAACTTCAGATGACTGATGCTGTGAAGTTGTATTATATAAGTAAAATAAATGGAAAAATCGAAGTCAAAATTGGGATGCAGGCACAGGAAAAAGTGTGAATTTTGAAATGTCATTTTTTTTAATTTGCCTTATATATGACAACTTTTCTCATTCACACATGTACATCCTCACAATCTCTAGCCCCAGCACACAGTTCCAGACATATTTGTGTGGCTGCTGAGCAACAACAAACGTGTTGCATACGCCCGGGTTCGAACCAGAGACCTGCTGTACTCCAGCAGGCAGGAGGCCCGAGGAATTAACTGTGGCAAGGTCATAACCCTGTTTCTCAAGGTAAACTCACATACGCAGAACATGTCTTATCCATAGGAAGGCTTCCAGATGAAAAATAATCTCTGTGTGTGGATGTGTGTGTGTCTGTGTGCACGCAGCCTCCAGGTAAGCGTGTTGCAGGCTTATCAGTCCAAGCGAAACTGGATGTGTATCTGTGGTTTGGAGCTTGCAGGGACTCTAGCCACATGCTGGATAACCTGCCTGCAGGATTCACTCCAGCTACAGGGGGCGCTGATGCCAACAGCCCTCCCACACACTTGCACTGCGAAGGTGAGACTGAAGCTAACTTTTGCAGTGTCTATTTACCTTGTTTTATCTATTGTGCTTTTGCAGTGTACAGGCTTTCCATTTCTTTTGATCACTACCTAGAACCAGAAATCAGTCCATACTGACAAGACAGTTTCCTGCGTTATGATATGTAGAGACATGGAAAATATGTACATAGTTTCCAGGTCTAAAACGTGAAACCAGTGTTTCAAATGGCTCATAGAATTCATTAAAAACACAACCCTATAATTGTCACGGACTCAACTCAACTTAAATAAAAGTGCTTAGGTGTAGAAACAAACACACTGATAAGTCACACCAGTCAGCTCAGGGCAGCCCCATGACTCACCAAGGGCTACTGGGCCCTTGAGCAGCAAATACACATCATACCCCAAAACTTTCTGTTGTACTAGTTCAAGGACATCTCATCTTGCATATGAAGCAGAGGAATAAGCTTGGCAGCTAAGAGACCATGGCCATAATGATGACAACTTGGTCACACCTAAGAAACTGGTACTATGATATGACTATATTTCAGTTCCCTGACAGGAGATGAGTCGACACAGAGTCTGAGTCAAGACTCAGCAGTAAGTCCAGTAGTAGTAGTATAGTATTTATTTATTGTCATTGTCAAGAACAATGAAATTGCGTTTGGGGCTTCCATACAACCCAAAAAAGAAGAAAATAATAAATACCCCTTAAAACCCAAGTGTACATATTAGTAAGTGCGAGTTCTATTTTTATATGGATTTTGGAGCCAGAAGGATGAAGTTATTTGGACCATTTTACATATGTGTAGACATACAGGTCTACACAGCTGGTGGTTAGGTACTTCTTCTTGCGCCTATGTTGATGGTGAAGGGACTGAAGCAATCAGCACGAAGACCAGAGCTGTTTTGTCCAGTAGGCAACACTTCACCCGTTGCCTACTGGTGGTGGTCCGAGGGCCCGGTGGCGCCAGTGTCCGGCAGCCTCGCCTCTGTCAGTGCGCCCCAGGGTGGCTGTGGTTTACAACGTAGCTGCCATCACCAGTGTGTGAATGTGTGTGTGAATGGGTGGATGACTGGGTGTGTAAAGCGCTTCGGCGTCCTTAGGGACTAGTAAAGTGCTATACAAATACAGGCCATTTACCATTTACCATGAATTTCAGTAATTCAAGTTTCAACAAAGACTTTTTAACAGCAGGACTCAGACCAAACCAGCACAACAGTATAATCGGTCTGCAGTGGTACCATGAGCTCACTTTTGAGAGTCTTAGCCACCTGTATTCCAGTCAGAGCAGCACCGAGCCCGAGAAGACAACTTTGTTTGAGATGACGGAGACACGGGATCTGGCCATCACGGGTGAAGTGTGAATATTTCCATGGAAACATGGAAATTCATTAGTTTTTTCTGTGTCACAGAACACATGCACCTCAAAAGTGAGAGTTGGTGACTCTGTAACTCGTGGCATATTTCACCTTGGTAAGGTAGGTCCTGTCGGCTCCTTCTTCTACTCTGTTCAAGTGGCAAGAAGGGTACTGTGAGAGGTTCATCCCAGCTAGTGTGGCCACACTGGCATGGTGTAGAAGACTGGGCAATGGTTATAACCCAAGGTATCATTGGGACAATCACTGCGTAGCCCAAGCATTGACTTTCATCATTGGCTTGATTAAAGAGTCAGCCGGAGCTAATGTGGTTGTAGGCAGGTGGGAAACCACTTCAGGAACATTACTGGCTCACTGTTATACCTCAAATCCTCCAGTAGCCAGAAGTTCTCTCCATTTGTCCAGGAGTTGTTTAGTTTGATGCAGAGTCAGAAGAGACTGGAGACAGTTGTCCACATAAAAGGCAGGATGGACAAACTCATACGCATCTCCACTCCCCTTTCAGTGGTCCGGGACCTGTCGCTGTGAGGAATAAGTGTCACAGCAAGGGTTGCCGGTGGTCCTGAATGGCAATTTGGTGACTTACAAGTGCCATTTATTGTACAGACCAGGCGGTCACTCCTGCTGTCTATCCCTCCACAGGAAGTTGAGCAAAGGTCTTCACATACCTTACACCTAGGAATGAAGGCTAAGTGTACTGCCTGGTAGTAGGAGGCCATTTAGGGGAGTCATGGTGAGTCACATGGTGAGGTTTGAAACAACTCCTACTAGTCTACCACTCGATACTGGTTAGCACTCTAACTAAACTGGAAAGATTTAAAGTAAATTTGGGATGAAATATGGCGGAGAAGCTAACCCTAGAAGCTAACGGTATAATGAGTCAAGTGGGCTCACTGCCCCCTGAGTCGGCTGCACCAACCCACCACGCCATGCTTTTTGACCCGGTAAGTAGTCCTGTGACGACACATCGTTTATTCAGTTCTTTGGTCTGATGCAGAGCAGCCTGTGTTGCCCTCCAAAGTCACTGACACCTGCAGAGATGGTGTTCAACAGAAGGTACAAAGAACTCACCTTCAACAGTTGAAAACAAAGGCGGCTGATACCCCAGGGAAGCCTTGAACGATGAGAGCCCTGCAGCTAGCTGGGAAGGATTGGAGGACACCACACACCAGCTCGCTGCTGGTCTGCAGGGAAAACCAGAGGAAAGACTAGCCAGGGGTCCCGGGACAGTGCAAAACTCTTTCCATATACTGGAGGTGAACTGGGGACCACAATCCGACACGATATCGATGGTTGTTGGTGTGAGACAATCATTTATCATCTGGATCTTTGCTGGGTCAGCCCTAATTTGTCCTTTCTCAACAATGTAGCTTAAAAAGGAGACGGAGTCAACGTGAAACTTTCTCTCCCTCTACAGATAGGTTATCTAGGAGATGCTGCAGCACCAAACGGATATGTGACTTGTGTAAAGAAAGAGATTTGGGAAAAATCAGAATGTCATCTAAATAAATGAAAAAAAACCTATTGAGGTAGTGTCTTAGCACGTCGTTGAGCAGGGCTTGGAAAACGCTCACCAGCTGAGCTTCCTGTTGGACAAGAGAGTGCTGAACGGAGTCCAAGCACTCTGTCATAACCTTTGAGCAGACGGACTCAAAAGCGAGACCCAGGATGCCAGTTCAGCGAATTTATTTACAGTGAAGTGCAGGTACTATTTACAGTGTCTATCAAAAGGGGGAAAAGCCACAGTCTCTATTTACAATAGTCCGGTAGATTTATCCTCCGTCTTCAAACAGGACCGTGAAACGGGATCCTCTCCTCTGAACAGAACCGTCCACGAGACAAACATATCAGTCTCCTGGACAGAGGAGAGGATGGATGAGGAAAAGGGAACATGGAAATAGGTAAACAGACTTACAGATTGGAGGTGAGTATCTACTGCAGTTGGTTTAACGCTCAAGCGATGGCTGAAAGAACGTCCTCTGTATTTAAAGGAAAGTCAGATGAGGAACAGGTGAGTTGATTACTGCAGGTGTGTCACTGGTCAGAGGGAGGAGACCCAGGGGATCGTGCCCCTGGAAGATGTGGTGTGATTATCGCATACACGCACATACACAGAGAGACTAACAATAACTTTTTAACAAACTTTCAGTTTTGTTCTGGACCAGGCAGTTCATCCTTAAGGTTTTACATTTCCAGCTGTGTCTGTGTGTCTGCAGAGCAGCATCAGTTCCAGTTGAGGTGCCACATGTATCAGGCTCGTGGCCTGATCGCTGCTGACAACACTGGCTTGTCAGATCCCTTTGCTCGAGTCACCTTTCTGTCACACAGTCAAACCACCAATGTAAGTGTGTGTGTGTGTGTGTGTGTGTGTGTGTGTGTGTGTGTGTGTGTGTGTGTGTGTGTGTGTGTGTGTG